GACAAGGCTTTGGTGACCATATGGTATCAGTTTAATTAAAATTTAAATATGGAAATACAGTGGTCTGGAAGTGGGTAATGAAGGATCTTTTGTGTCCATTTCCATACCAGTTCAGCAGTAGATGAAAGCTGCAGTTAAACAGCAGTTTCATCCAAGAATGTGAATTGAGGGTATCTTTTTAGCATTTGGTAGACAGTCGTCCATATGATAAATATCTGGCATTTATGCTGTTGAACTGAACATAGAAATGATACGTTGACACATGAGACTAGTCTATTCTCTTGGCTGCTGACCCCAAATTTTTCATGGGATATTAAACTACATGAAGATGGCTTATTTTGTTAAACCAGTGCTGCTGTTTCCAATCACGTTCCCATAATACGTAGACTTGCTGAGGATTTCCAGTGCCTTTTATCATCATTAAATCCATTTACAAGATCTGAAATAAGCAACAGTATACATGGAGTTATTCCAATACTATTCAAACATCAATTAATACCTGCATATTTCTTGAAGTTTTATAGCAGGGAAAATTGTAAGACAGCTTCTTACAATGTGAAGTTGTATGCAGACAGTAACAGGTCTCATCTTTAAAGGAACCAAAGAATCTAATGTAAAATTAGTCTTCTGCTGCTAAGTTAAATTTGGTACTTGGTAGGCAACATTGTGTTTTAATATTAATATTTGGTTTGGTTTTCTCTTCTATTTAAGGTAGCTCTGTGTTACTTGTTTTGGTGGGACAAAAACATACCAAATGGTCACGCCAGCCCTGGATGATTTTATCCTTGTGTTGTCAATAAGTTCGGACATGACATATTAATTTTTTCCCCACGATAGCTTCACTGGATTACTGGGTGTTCCTGCCAGAGGCCATTCAGAAGGGTGTCTGATCCCCAAGTGTTGAACATTTTAATGGTAACTCAATTACTGTTGATAGAGTGGGAAAGTCTGTATTTACTAAATACAACTCTTGCTGCACATCACCAACTCTACCCATGTGTGGGTAGAGAATCAAATGAGCCCATTTTGATTGCTTTTCAGGCTGGTGCATATCCAACAGGGTCAGAGCCTCATTAACAAGAAGAACATGCAGCCACAGACCAAAGGGATTCAGAGACTGTAACTAATTGATGTGCGGGGATTGTAGGTCATATCTTCATGAGACACGCAGCGATGGCAGAGAATGATTTAATTCGAAACAATCGGCATGCTTCATCCGCAAGCTGCCACAGTGCCCCACTAACCTACGCGTCGTAATAACCTTTGCTTTGGGTATCAATAAAGGATGCTGCCCTTTGGGATCCCGCAGGAACAAGCGCTGTCAGCTGACAGATGAGAATGCGCGGGGCGGTGGAGCTTCTCACTGCTGCAGGAAAGTAGGTCATGGCCAAAAGTAGCCTTGGCTGCCTTTGTGGAACTGTGCCTACGAGAGGAGTCAGCTGAGAAAAAAGCTTGCACGTTTTTTGGGTTTGGTTTTTTTAGCCCTTCCTTGCTGTGGAGCAGCTGGCACTATGTGCCTTGAAATGCATCTGCTTTCCAGTATTCTTGCATAAAATATTTTTAGAAGTGAATATGCAGCTCTTATTTCTGGTTAGGGGAAGTGGCAGATGCTTGTGGCCTTTTGTTTTCATTAAGATTTTAGAATTTTAATTAGATCAAGTGGTTTTAATAAACATAGGTTTTTTCTTGGTTGCTTCACTGGAGGTTGGCTGAAACTGGATGGTAGGTATGTGTCAGGGAAGCTCAGATTGGAAATAGTTTTGAACTTGAGCTTTGTGTGCAATATTTGAGGTCTCTTATGCTTTATTAGTAATAAGAAATACATTAAAACAAGTACTTTAACGCGTTTTAGGACTCATTCACTCCTGCTGTCTTCCTGCAAAGACTGGCACCTGGTTGTGGCATAATGGTCATTTCTATGGCAACAAACTATGTGATGGTGCTTGGAAGGCTCTGACTTTTGATGGAGAATAAATAAAAGCAGATTCACCCACACATAAGATAGCCCTGTTTTCATGTGAAATGAAGAACTTCAGAGGAAAAAAAATATCATACAGCTTTCCTATATCATGTTCTTTCATAGTTTCCTGTGTTAACGTGTAGGTCTTTCCAAACTGGACCTACTGGAAGTCTGGGCATGTGAGGTGGACTCCCTCCTCTGCGGCTGCTCGGTGCACAGCTGCCCAATGCTGCAGCCCGGTCTCAGGCACTGAGCAGCCTTTGTAGGCCATGGCAATCCTTTGTAGCAGATCATCGCCTGGTTTTGCTGTTCTGCTGCTCCAAAGGTTTCCTTTGACAAACACTAAATCCCCTCTTGTCTTGCCATGCATTAAAACATGTCAATCAACTTCTCAAAATACTTTTGAGGTGTTGTCCTAATTATATTTCCCCCACCTGTTTTCTCATATACAACTCTCCATTTCCATCACTTTTCATAAATACATTGCACAAACAACATCCTTTATCAGTAGTGGGAAGTTCCCTCGATACAGTGTGGGAGTGCTCAGGCATGAAGCTGTTGCCAGCTGACCCAAAGCCCAGAGCCGCTCCAAAGGGCATGAACTGACATGCCAAGGTCACTTCTTCAACACAGGCTTGATAGGAGGCCAGTCCGTGGCAATAAAAGTTTATAACATTTATACAGTGCTTCAGTATAGAGTTCTCATCCTGGAAGAAGACTCCAGGCAGTGTGTGTATTTCAACTCATATATGAAAATCACTATTTTTTTATTTACTGTTGACATACAGGGCTGTATAAGTGCTGGTCTCAGTGGGGAGCAGCTGCCAACACGAGCAGCTGATGCACCATCAGTATCCAATGCTGAAAACTAACCTCTTTCCATATTATGGAAAGATGTGACCTGAAATACCATACTGTTTCCCTGGGTACGGAGTAAGAGTCCGAGGTCTTGGCAGAACTTCTAACAATATGGCATATGTTGACAGATGAAACAGCGTACTGCAGTTTTTGCTACCTTTAAAGTCTGTACAGCAGTTTAGTCTGTCTTTTCTGCTAAATTTCTGTCAAGGTATAAACTTGAATCTTCAGTCATGCTAAACTGTTTCTTAGGGAACTGTTTCCATTTTGGTTTAAAGATGATCTGGTCATATGTTTTGGGGATAGCTCAAGTCTGCCAGGAAGATAATTTAAAGGCCTTCCTTCAAATTATCAATGTTTCCAGCAGTCATATTTCTAAAGAAGCTTTTTCTGGAACGTAATTTTTTGGGCTGTTGCACAATATGTGCACAGATGGATGCTGCTTTGTGCTAATAAGTTGTTTAGGTTGAACAGATCTGTCCAGGATCATATGTTCATTTTGGCAACTCTGCTGTTCCCCTACTACTTCTTTGACAATTTTGTTCTAGTAAGAAGATAAATAAATGAATAAAGCTCTGCATTCACTTGGTCATTGCAGAAGCTGGCATCGCCTTTCCTGTCTTTCTTTGTGCCCCAGCGGTGTGCAGGTGTTGGGGTTTTGGGGTTTTTTTTGATAATCCACTTAAGGAAAAACAGCAGCACTGGTCTTCCATTGCCTGACTAAATATAACCTAACTTGTCCTCTTTCTTCCCTTCCCATCTTATTCCTACTAGCCCTCATTGCTCTTCTTGCTAATAAATTAGAGAGATGGTTACCTTTCTGGCAGCAAATGAGCCTGCCAGTTGGCTGAAAGCAATTTGAGAAGTGCCTTTATAAACGAATGAGTCCAGCTGTCATAATGTGTACTCTCTGAACCCAGAATATGAATTTTGATTAGGCAGAAAAAGCCCACTGACTTAGTTTCACATGATTTTGTTGTCGCTCTTTGCCATAATGATTGAACTAGCAGTGTCGGCACCATGGCTGGCAGATCTCCACTCGAAGCTGTTTATAAAGGGCTGTCTGGGTTATAAAAACCTCCCTGATCTGTTCAGGTGCATGTTTTGAGAAGAGAACCGATTGTTGCTTTTAAGAGGCCTGTGCTCTGTGTGCTTTTAACGATCAATTTGGCAGTGAAACTGTCTCTGACAAGCTGATACTATCAAAGTGTTGGTTTGGTGGGGCTTTTTTCCTATATCTGAGATCCTGACTCAGCCTTGCAGCTTGCTGGGCTGGACTTTGTCTCTAGCTGGGTGCCCCAGCCGAGCGCTGCCTAACTGTCCCGGTGGGCTGTGCCGGTGGGCAACCCCCATCGAGGTATGCCCTGTCATGCCAGCAATGTGCACAAATCACATACTGACCCTGTGAAATGACTGGTGTACGTGGGCCTGTCCTGTCGCATTACTGAAGACACGCTGTTATTTTGGGTGTGCTTGCAGGTTTTGTGTCTTAGACTGCAGGGAAGGAGCTTGGTTTGTGGTGTCCTCTCTGGAGTTGCAGAACGTTACCCCAGCCTCAGCCGCCATCTTGGTTCCCTCTTCCGTGGAATTGCTCCTTGGGGATTAAGTGGCCGAAGATCCCTCCTGGGACTGCCTTTGTGGCCACAAGTGCCTGTCCGCTGAAATTGTGCTTCTGTTTCTCTTCGTTATTGCTAATTATCATGTGGGCTCTGCTATGCATTTCCTGAAGTAAAAGAAAAATTACAGTTATTTCGGAAAAGGTAGTGAGCTTGATTGCCAAAATAGTTTGCTGGTTTTGTGATTTTCATCAGAGGTCCCTTCTGAATTGTCACTTCTGATCAGCAGCAATGATATTTGCCTCAGCTTTTCATGCAAACTCTCCTTTCAGTTTGTGCTACAACAGTTGTGCAACTTCTGAAGCTCATTCACTCTGGTTAGCACTGTACTGTGTCAAACTACAGCCGTGTAAATAAATGTATACCAGTTCTCAGGCTCGGAGAGCCTTGTTTTTGTGGGCTGTCTGTGACTTAAATTCCCAGGGTTCTGATGATTCAGACAACTTGCAATATATTATTAATAAATTATGTACTATTAAAATCCTAACACTGATGTTACAGTTGCCTTTTATTTTCACGGTTAGATTCTGTTGTGATTAATTTTTTGAATGCTTCATTTTCTTTAGAAACTAGATGCCAAATCACTTATAAAGCTGAATTTTGCTAAAAACAGTGAAGGTAAGTGCAGTAATTTTCTGTGGTTTTTATTTTCTTAGTGAGTGCTGTAATAAATCCTGTTTTGTCTGACTCATGGTAAAGTTATGTAGTTTGTGTTCTCTATCATGGTTTTTATTTTTTGAGTAGAATAACTGCTTCTTCTGAGTGACATGTTTACCTTTAAAGTTCCATTTCTGTTTTCCTTTATGCTGGGGAGCTGTAAATTATTCAGCAATTTATCTTTACTATAGCTGCTATTGCAGTAAGGTACTGTTTATTTTAAGGAAAAATTTCAGAAAAGGCTAAATTTCTACCATATGTTATCTTTTTCCTAACTTGCCTATAGCATTATTTGCTACTCACTTCATTTTGAGCAACTTTTTGTTTATAAAATAAATTAGACTTAAATGAACACATGGGATTTTATGAATAGCAGCACACAAGAAAGCAGCGTCGAGTTTTATTTCTGCAGGGTTAAAGATATAAAATCTGCCATCTAAGAGAGGATGCTAGGAATAAAAGAGAAGAGTGGAGATTAATTCATCTTCTACAAGGCAGATAATGATTTCTTTGAAGTGAGAGTGCCAAGGATTAGGTGGGAATAAAATTCTGGAGTGTCCATCTCCCTATCTCACTGAAGTCCATAGACTACAAGGTTTTTTCTTTAGCTGATGGATTTCTTCTGCATTTTGTTTTCCATCTGTCTCAAGAGCAGGGTGTTAAAAAATGATCAATAGTCACTGTGGCCAAGGTTTTTGAAAGATACTATGATATTGTGCTTTCGTTAAAGAAGTCCAGTTCATAGTGCTGGGGTGGAATGACAGCAGCCACATAGTCTCAGAAGCCTTTTCCTTAAAAAGGTGCATGTTGTGTCATTAGTAGATCAAGGGAAGATGCAACAAAAGAAGAGTAAAATACTGCATTTCTGTCAGCAAACTTTTCTTTAATTCTTAACATGTAGAATGGTTGCTATGTATCTAGGATCTTCTCTGTTCACACCTATACAGTAAAAATGGTCTTCAGATATTGCAGTTTCTTCCATTTAATGATCCCTCCTTAGCTGAGTACCTTCTATCCAGATCAACAAGTGTGTGCCCTCAGCAGCTCTGCTTTTGCTAGAACTGAAAACACAGTGATTTGCTCTTTATTATGCAGCTAGAGTGAGGCCTCACATTTTACCAGTGTGTTTCTGTAGCCATCAGTTGGGCCATGCCCTGATGCCACTTCCAAAAATCCCTTTCTAAACTTCCTCTTGAATTTCAGTCCCTTGTGGTAATGGCTTTCCTTCAGCTCTGGTGGCATTAACAGAAACAGTCCTCATCTTTTACTTGCATCTGCGTGCTGGAGGTCAGGGTGCCTCCTCGGGCTGGTTGGTTAACAGTAAATACTCTGTAGGTGCTTGCCTGTCCTATCTGCAGGTGCTGTGAGCAGTCTCTGTTCTGGTCTCCCTGCTGGTTTTGATTTTCAGATGGTAATTAGGGAAAAAAAAAAAGAACCAAATAGGCCCAACCTATTTCAAAAATCTCACCCAAGCCCCCCAGGTCTAGCAGACTGATCAAGTATTAATAACCTTCTTCTAATTGCTTTCTGCTGAGATCATCCAGACATTTTTCTTTTTTCCTCTTACATTGCCTTCCATCAGTTTGCTTGTTGTTGACATGCTTAATATTTATGCTGACCCTCCTGGGAAAATTCACAGCTTGATTAGAGCAGAAGCTGGGTTCCTTATTGAATAACGTGTTCAGATTTAATGGCATTCTGCTTGCCACATTTGAATACAAAATGCTCTCCTCTCCTAAAAGCACGACAGCTGCTGTGAACTTTTTTGTAGGATATAAGCTAAACTTTTATTCCTGGGAACAACACTGAAAATAGAGCACTGGACACATTACAAGGTACAGGCTTATGTTATCAATAGAGCTTTGATTACAACAATAACAATTATATTGTGGTACTTCATAGATACCAAACCAGTTAGACAAAGTTCTATGTTGGGGGATTGAAGGCAGTAGATTTCAAAACTGCCTTTTCATTGCTTGCTTTATAATTCTCTTAAGTGTTACTTTTTCTATTTGGCACTGAAGAATCAAAGCATAGTTAAAGCACCATTAAATACACACTGAAGTTACACTTTATATTAAAAATTCATGTAAATATCCTTCACACAGATTACAGAAATTAGCTATTTCAAAACAGTTGCAGGCATTTCATGCCAAATTTAAACTTTTTTCCTCTCTATCAGGTAAATACCACTGTCCAGTGCTGTTTACTGTATTCACCAATAACTCCCATATTGTGGCCATCAAGACAACTGGAAATGTGTTTGCCTATGAGGTAGGTTCTCTGCTGCGTTTCATTATTAATATTTTATACTCGATGCATTTCATTCAAGATCACAAAATGCTTTAGAAAAGTAGGTATGTTTTATTCTTGTTCTACAGCCAGGGAAATTAAAGTACAAGGAGATGAACTGACTTCACAAATTGTCTTCAAAAATGTACAACCCTAGAATATGATTTCAAAGATAATTTTAAAACTTCTTCCTAAGTTAATATGCATCCACTGAATCTTGTAGACCAAAATGAGTAGCTTTTATATACTCCTCAGCTGAATTAATAGACAAATCGTCGGTTGTCTTCTTTCTAATACAGTCATCACCAAACCAAAAATTGCTTCGTTCTATTCATATCAATGAATAAAAAAGAATATTTTAACTGGAGTTGGGGAAAGAGCAGAGAGAATGCCCTAATGGACACTTGAACTGTATTTTTATTTGTGTTTTGTGAACATTTGTATGAACCCAGGTGGAATTTTAGTTGAGACTTGTTTGCATAATCCTTACTGTAAAAGGAAGGTTTATTTATTTTTCAGTAGCAAATAAATCCTTCAGTTAATGGATCCATATCCAGTGTTGTAACAAGTCTGAACACTGGAACATCTGCTTTTTTAAATCTGTTGATGGGAAATTCCAGTAGGACTTTCAGATACTGAGGAAGGACCAAGCTGAAACCAGTGCAATCAAGGAAAAGGCTGGATTCATCACCTTTTTGAAAACTTGCTCTGTTGTAGTTGAACTCTCTTCATTCCAGCTGTGCGAGCAGTCAAGATTAGGTTAAAATAGAAAGTATTTTCTGTTCCTTCTGGAAGCACGGTGCTTTGATTGCTGTGGTTAAAAGGCAAGAATGAGTTTAAGAGTAGTCTTCGTTAAATGCTTGTTGATATTGTAAAACTATTGCTCAGTTTGCTACAACTTATAATACCAGGCTTCCTAAACAAGCTGTGCCAAGAGGGTCTGTTTCTCGTGTGGTGTATCACTTGAAGCAATAGCATTTATTGGTTTGTTATAAGCACAGAATTAATTTACAGACTTGTGGAAGTACTAGAAAAATATTATCACTTTCATCTGAGAAGAATAGAGGACATTTGGGTGAATAAGACAGATTCAGTCTTTTTGCAGGTAGACCTCCATAGTCGTGTCTCTGGATGATATATTTGTTCATAAAGACAAAGCATGTATTCCACATTGATTCTCACTACGAAATAACACACTGCTGCTGTGTTGAGCATCATTTAATTTTCTCAGGTGAACAGAAGGGTTGCTGCAGGCTAGGTGCAGGATTTGAGGTGGACAGAGTGTGAGGGGCTAAGGCAACTCTGCTGTTGTACGAGCTGGCCTGGGACACACATCTCCCTGATGGGTGCTGACGGTGGGGGAGATAGGGACCCCTTGTTACAGCTGCCTGTCTTATACCATCTGTAAAATACTTAGAAAACTGCAAGTGAGATTTTTTATTTTTTTGGGCAGTACTTTTATGATGAATTTGGTTAAAGTGATATGCATAACTATGGAATGGAGACTGCAAGGTTCCTTTTTTTAAAAAAAACAAACCACACAAAACTGTCAAGTTTTGTAGGGATGAAAAACAAAAGCTTCTCGTCTCTTCTCATCTGTTAAAGCACACAATGATAATATTGCAGCTGCCAGTTGAGAATGAAGGGTGAAATTGTTTTCTTTATCATTTGTACTTTAAGGTTGTATTGATATCACGTATTTACTTGTAGTATTTACACATTACAATCCAATTTTTAATATCTGTGTCTTTTGCTTGGCTGTTAGGCAGTTGAGCAGCTGAACATAAAACCAAAGAGCTACAAGGATCTTTTGACAGATGAGCCCTTCACTCGGCAAGACATTGTGACACTGCAGGTAAACTTTTGTCTCTGTTACATGTCTTACTATGCAGCGTTTTTGCAGAGGATGAAATATTGCTATGTACACTATTAAAGCAGGAATCTAGAACAGTGGAACAAAGAAACATTGTGTGTGTGTCTTGGAGATGGGTAGAAGGGGAACCACAAAGATACCATATAACTTAGAGCTTGACAAATCTCTAGAGTGATTATTGCGTGTCTTGTAGATAAGCAGATTGTTCAACTTTGTAAATTGAAGGAGGGAAAAAAAACAGGTGCCCAGAATGGGTCAAGGATACTGGGTAAAAATGTGAATTTTGACAAAAGTATTTGCGGTTGCTCACTATTTCACTGTATCTGACTGAATTTAAGATAATTGTAAGTTTTAGATATGAAACTACACGTAAGTTTTTGTGGGTTTATTTCTATTAATCTTACTTGAAAAAATGCTGTGATACCTCCAATTTATTGTGAGACTTAACGGAAGTGCATTGAGAAAAGACTGGGTAGAAGAAAGGTAAAGATACGTCCAGAATCATCTTCAGCTCTAGACAGCCAACAGTATGTGGTCTGTGTTATCAGAAGAAATGTGTTTTTTAGAATGTAAAGTGTATAAACTTTTAGGAAGTTGACATGTTACATTAAGACTGAAGTTGGTTGTCTACCTTACTCTTTTGAAGATGCCTAAAAGAGTCAAAGCTTCAGAAAAGCATTTTTTATAGAATGTTTCTCTAAATGTAGAGTAAAATAAGCAGCAAACTAGGGGATCTTCTTTAAATGCTTGCTTAGAATGGTTTTCTTCTGAATAGATACCAATGTCAGTCTTTTACTGATTTTAACATAATTAAAACAGCATTGTAACTTTCAGAGTATAGAAGATACTTATTTACAGATGAAGTTTCATATCAAAAGATCTAAAACTTTTGTTTAAAAGTAGGCATTTTTAAGCTTGCATGATTTCAAAATAGGGGAAAAAAGATTCAAGGATCATTATTATTGGAATCATGAGTTAGTATGCATCTCGCAAACAGTTAATTGCCACTAACCAAGACTAATATGGTCTAATTTGAAAAGAAAATATTTTTCATTTATGTCTAAATTTAAATGAAATGTATTCCTTTTTCCCTACTCCCCAGTGCTGAACACAGTGTTTATAAATATTTTTCTTCTGTTCCTTTGGGCTTGCGGCTGTTCAAGCTAATGCAACAAAGTAAAATGTTTTTAATCCAATGGAAGCAAAACCCCAGCTTTTTCAGATTGAAAGCTTCCAACAGAATGTTATTTGAATGTAACTGCATGGTTGCTAATGGATTTGGAACGGTAAAAAAAGACAATATGAATGACTAAAAATGTTTCTGTGCATCAGTATGGAAAACCAAATTATTTTGAACAAATAATTTAAATGTGCAGTCATTTAAAAATATTTTGGTATGCTTTGTAGATTTTGAATTGAATGTATGTATAAAGAGTGTGTTCCTGTTACATGCTTAGTTTTGATTTTTGCATAAAAGCAAACAGATGCTATAGGCCCCTACATCTCAAAATGCAACAGATAGCATTTTAGATGTTCCCTAAGTGGATTTTTATCAATATTTTCATCTTCATTCTGTTGACATGTTGGGTTTCTGTCTTGCTTGGAGGAATATGTCCGTTAACAGAAACTAAGTAGATTATGATAGTTGTCCAGTCACTGGTACAGTCATGCTGTCAGCTATATGGAGATCACAGCCATACATTGCCTGTACCTGTCTCACGTCCATTTAGGATGATGTTCATAATGCGTGAATGGATTTGTTCCTCTTAAGTAAACAACTCATTATGGATAGGTGTTAAATGAATTTGTGTAGTGTACAATCTTGTGGTATACTCTTCTCAAATAAGTTTAGAAGTAGCAAAGCTACCCCCATGTTGGGATTGGACTGGAAGACATTTTGACCATCTGAATGTGCTGTTAACCAGCTGAAGTTTGACCCTTCACCCAATTAGTTTTTAAATACCTTTTTCAAAAAAGGATTTTCAACAAACAGGCTAAAATGGCTTCAGGGTGTTGAATGAGAAGTAAGAGCCATTTAATGCACTGCACAACAACCACTGCAAACTTGCAAGTATACCTTGATTTCTCCTGTTCAAACGCTGCCCTAGCCCAACTTGCTTTGTTGAGGCCAGAACGTGACCTAAAGTGGTATGACTAGCCTGGGTATTAAAATTGCTTATGTATATGCGGTATAGGAATCTGTTGTTATTTTCTCATAGTATTTTTGTCATGTAAATCGTTAAAAGACAGACCAATGTCTCCTCTATAAGCTGCCTTATTGACAAGACTGTAGGCAGCATGGTGGCTTCACACTGCCAAGCTCTACCACCTGTGGCTTTGTTTCTTAGCCAGAGTTCATGACTGCAATCTGTTGTGTTTCAATTTGTGGCTCTAGAGCTCTATCCCAAATCCCTCTTCTCTTAAAAACCTTTCAATTCTGTGTTGAAATTTATCACTTTGTTGTTTTCCCATTGCCTCATGTAAATTGGGTACTGTGGTATCTGAGAGAGCTGGAAATGAGAGTGAATTGGTAACACTGACCCTGCTGTTTGGCAAAAAGGTAGCTATAAAGGAAGTTGCTATTAAAAACGTTCTTTGCTTTGCAAATAACAGCTGAATAGGACTGTCTGTATTAGCTGTGTTTATCAATAGAAAATAGTGTTTCCAGAGGCTGACTCTGAATGTCCTAGGAAGCAGATGGACTACCTGTGCTTGGTAGTGAAATACAACGTGACAAATGGAAAATTTGAATAATGTATGTTTACAGATTATTTGTATGATCACATTTTGCCTTATTGATACACAAAGGGCAATCCTACAGCTGCTAGGGGTGTTCTTTTACCAGAACAGCAATTGACCTCAAACTTGACCTTTCTCTCCCTAATGTATATAATTAAGAACAAAACAAAAAAAAATTACTCTTTCCAGAAGAGATAAAATTGCATTAAATTCTTTGTTCTGTTCTCAGTGCTAAACATTATTCAAACACTAGTCATAATCCATCCCGGTTCTCTTTTCTAGTGAGCACTATCTCAGCTCGTCGCTTTGATTTTAGTGATAGTTATTTGTGTCCTATTGCTATTAAGTTTACTTGTTAAAAAGGACAAATTATTTTGGATCTGGAATTTTAAAAAAAGGCAAAATCACAACTTTAGTTGTTAATAATGCTATCTTAGATCTATGATGTGCCTCTCTTTGTAAAGGAATCCACAGTGCTTCCTGCACTTACATATACAGAAATTGCTTTTTTCCCCTGTTGAAATGCAAAAGTCCCAGGGTAGAGCATAGCAGGTTTTCATCAAAATATGGCAATATTATCCAGCCCCTCAGGGCAGGAAGTAAAGAATAATACCATATCCTGGTGTGCAAGATACATTACCAAAACTGGAATGTAGTTATTCAGACAAAAGATGTCATGGATTCTGGTTTAATATCTTGCTGATAACAACATAAATACACATGATGTTATTCCACATGAAACCCTTCCTAGGCACCAGCAGTCTTAGTATGACTGGATTTTTTAGACTGTAGCTCTTTACCCCCAAGTTGGAATTTCCTTTTCTTAGCTGCATAACCTTGCCACAAACTCAAGTCAAGCTTTTCCTCTTCTACAGTGCTGGTGTTACTTTTTTCCAAGTTTCTCTCTCCTTACAGTTTATCATTAGTTCAGATTATTTTCCTCTCAACTGTGCTGTTTTGTATCTCTTCTAAATGGAATATTGTTGTTGTATTTTGTCTGTTTCTCATAGCTCTAAATCCACTTGTATTCTTTTACCTTGAATGGTGATGAGCTCAGCCTAACAAAGCATCCCTTGCAAATGTCATGAATGTGCTTCCAGCTGACAGACAGCTCAAGTACTTCAAGATTTATTAGTTATACTTAATGGGTAAGGTATGATGTAAAGCACTTAGAGATCTGTGGGGACAGTTTCTGTAATAGGAAAGTTGGTATTGTGAAGCTTGTTTGCAGTGTTCTTACCTCCCTTTTCTGCTTCCCATTCTGGTGCGTTGCTGTTCATCATTTCACTTGGCAAATGTTTTAAAGGTAGCATTCAGTATAGCTTTGGAAGAGTTTTGGCATAAGATTACATTAGACTCTGACTGAGGACTAGGTGATCCTTTCAGTCCTATATTTTACAGGTTTTCAGCTAGTTTTCAATCTAAATGGCTAACCTTGTTTAACGTAATTTGAAGTAATCATCCAACTAAATTTTTTAGGGGTGAAATTTAGTGTTAGATCTCAAGGTCTGCTGTCCAGCATTTAATTTTTGTGACAAAATCTGTTCAAAACAGTCTGGTAGAAATTATTAGTGTTACTGTAAATTCCATGTGTGTTTCAGTCTTATACTTTGCAAATTATTCTTTGTGTAATGATGTGGAACTTAATAGCAAACACATAACTAAGTGTAATCTAGATACCCTCATATAACAGTGGGCAGGCTGAAGCAAGTGCCTGCCCCAGCTCAAGATGCACAGAGAGGAACAGGGTCAGGTAGTGCCTTGCTGGACACGGTGGTGGGCTCTGAGAGTCCCGTGGACTTCTTCCCATCGCAACAAGTGTGAGAAGGTCCTGAGGAGAGCAAAATAAGAATGCTGCGATACCCTGCTTTCACGTCCCATTTGGTAGGAAGTGTTCAGAGAAAATAAGAACAATTTCCCCTTTAGCCCCCTGTCAGTTCTTCATCCTCCACTGTGTCTCTGTTCACAAACCAGAAAACACGGCTCTCGAATTTGTGAAGATACAGAAGAAATTACTCCTGCTCTTGGAAACTCTTAGAAGCTATTGCTGGGCTGTGTGCTGTCAGGAGTGGAGTTAGTGAGAAGTGTGGCTCCACTCAGCAGCAGTGCTTGCAGGTAAAGCAGAGGCAGAGGTGGGCTGTTTCTCATAGCTGGAAGAATTGCAATAAACCCCCAAAGTCTGTTGTGCCAGTGGTAATAGGCACAGCGATGGCAGCCTGCTGAGAGCTTTCTTTGATAGATGCACGTTAGCAGATGCATCTGCTTTCCACCACAGAAATGGAGGGGGGTTCCTGGGAGAAATAAATAAATAAAAGATGTCTGGCTAGAATGCAAACAGATTTGCTGCCATTAAAGGAAAAAAAAGGCTCATGCTGTAATGTGCTTCCTTATGTCAATTTTATTGTTTCTGTACAACCTAATCAGCCATGGACAAGACATGGTTCCCGACAAGCTGTTAAACACCATTGGCATTTGTGGCAGGAAGCATAACTAATGAGCTGACTTGGAGGTAGCTGAGCTGCACACTGTTAATTGATATTTCACTCCTCAGCTACTTCTCGTTTGCTCTTTGTGTGACAGAAGGTCAGAGCAGATTTTCTCTCGGTTGTGGGTGAGGGCTCTTTGAGGGCGAATCTTCCACCAATGTATGTGCAGAGCAGCTGGTTAAGAAGTGGTGCATTGGGACGTGGTCATTGTATGAGCCCGAGCTTGAAACTTAAGTTTAACATGCCCAGGCTCAGGCTTTATTATGGGAGGTAATATGGGTTTTATACCTCTAAATTTTGTCATTTGAAGGTAACGCTCATGAAGATAATTAGAGATGCAGCATGGCTGACCAAATGGTAAGAGAGGAATCATGCCTCAGAGAAATCACACAGTCTAAAACTGTGCTGGTTTTAACCTG